AGCGAGTTAAAAATCAAATTTTATTACCGGTTGTCATTTCAGGTCAGGAAATGGACGTCACTTGTCTAGTTATTCCGCGTTTAAATTGTGAAATATTACTTGGGGCAAATTGGTTATTTAAATATCGAACGGTGATAGATTTCGATAAATCTTTATTACGTTTGCGATATGAAGACCAAGTGCTGGAAACAAATATAAAATTCAAGATAAATGGAACCAATACGCATAAAAATTTGTTCAAAAACAACAGTGATGGGTTCCCTGATATCGACATGGTTCCAGATGGGAATTCGAGGGGAAATTCAGCGTCGAAGTCAGTTGTAGAACATCGTTACTCAGATGCAAATAAAACGTGTACAGGGGAATCAAATAAATTGAAATTATTCAATATTCTGAGAGACAATCAAGAGGTGTTTTCTGAATGTCCAGGTTGCGTTAAGGGCTACTATCATGAGGTCGAAATGTTAATCCACGAGGCATTTAATGCACCCTCATACCCGATACCATTCAAATATCGAAATGGAGTTGCGCGGCAGGTGAATGAAATGCTTTCATGGAATATTATGAGAAAGGAAAAAACCGAGTATGTCTCACCTTTAGTATGTGTTGCAAAAAAGGACAAGAGTATTCGTGTATGTTTAGATGCGCGGTTTTTAAATTCAAGGATGAAGAAGGATTTCATTAACCCTCCAAATGTGAGTGAACTCTTGTTGAGTTCAGGAAGAGAGCAAGTGCTGAGCACTATTGATTTAACTTCGGCTTATTGGCAAATTCCCATAAAAGTTGATCATACGAAATATATTGGCTTCATACATGAGGGCGAAACTTATACTTTCCGTAGACTTCCATTTGGTCTTAGTACATCTATGGCTAGCCTTATAAGGTGCTTGAATAAGGTCTTAGGGGAGGAATGTCATAATTTCATATGTATATATGTAGATGACTTATTGGTATTCTCGGAGAATATCGAATCGCACCTTGTTCATCTAGACAAAATATTTCGACAATTAAGGGCAGTGGGTCTTACAATCAAACTCCGGAAATCGCAGTTTATTCGGAACGAGGTGTCATTTTTGGGACATATTATAACTCCGGAGGGAGTATGTATTGATCCGAGAAGGATCGATTATATTTTCAATTCTCCCGCGCCGCGTAATCTCAAAGAACTGAGGGGTTTTTTGGGACTCGTCGATTATGAGCAAAGATTTTGCCAAAATTATGCGGAACTGTCCATACCGCTTTTAAAATTATTAAAAAAGGGCGAGAGATGGCAATGGGGCCAAGAGCAAAAAGATGCTTTTTGTGGAATTGAAGAGGCGTATTTAGGTGTCACGTTATTGGTTCATCCTATTATGGATCGTACCTTCTATATACAATGCGACAGTTCGGACTATGCTCTGGGGGGTAGTTTGTTTCAATATTCAGATCTGGGGAAAAAACAAGTTATCGCCTATGTTAGCACTACGTTCAAGGGCAGCCAACTGTATCATACCACCACAGAAAAAGAAGCGCTTGCTGTGGTGCACTGTCTGCGTCAGTGGCGTACATTAATTTTGGGGCGAGATTTGGTTGTGTTATCGGACCATAAATCGCTAACTTTCCTATCATCTTGTAAATTGCGTTCTGCGAGATTGTCAAGGTGGATAATGTTCATTCAGAAATTCGATTTCCGCATCGAACACTGTAAGGGTAAGGATAATATAACAGCAGATGTGATATCACGGCTTCCTACACAAAAACATGTTTTTCGCCCAGAAAAATCGAATAGTGTTAGTATTTCATTAGTTAAATTATCTGATGATTTTGAAGAATTGAAGAAAAATTTTAAATCACTTCGAGTAGACCAGTTGAATGAAGGTTGGATTCAAGAAAAGATAGAGCTTTTAGAAGAGTTGGGAAACCAAGCAAAAATTCTTACTATGGTGGAAGTTAGGGTTACTGACTGGTTCATTATGCATGAAGGATTGTTGTTTAAGCGGGGAGACGACGATTCTCCGGGTTTTAAATTATGTGTTCCTCGAGATCAAATTAGAGACATCGTTTTATCACACCATAGAGGAATTAGACATTTCGGAAAAACCAAGACTTATTATCAAATGCGAAAATCCTTTAACTGGCCAAAGATGCAAAAGCATGTCAGGCAAATTGTTGCTGCCTGTGATCTATGCCAAAAGTCAAAATGTTCGCCTACAAGTAGGGGTCTTTTGAATCCGATAGTAGTTGAAAAACCAGGGGAACTCATATGCGTCGACATGATAGGACCTTCACCGAGAGGGCGAGGCCAAGTGACACAATTGTTAGTCGTAGTTGACGCTTTTTCAAAATTCGTGAAATTCTACGCACTATGTAGGGCTACGACTCGACTTATTTTGAAGCGCCTTGAGAAACATCATTTCGTGCAAGTTCAGAAGCCGAAGTGCATTCTGTCCGATAACGGATCCCAATTTACAAGTCGTCTGTGGAAGGACAGACTGAACGAGTTGGATATTAGGCCGAAGTTTGCCACGTTCCGATTGAAATCTGTGGCGATTCGGGGTGACTCATGCCAAATTTGTCATAAGTTATACCTATAGGTTTAGATGTTGGCTAGCTCAGTGTAGATTGGGAGTGGAATGCTCACCCTGTATAGTAAACCTTGGTAGGACAAACTCGCATGGAATGATACTAGCTGGTGTATCATATGACAAATATATTATGGAAATATAAAATAATAGTAAACATATAATATATAAGTAATTATTAGTACAAGGCACCTAGTGAGATGAATCTTTAATAATAATTTGTGTACTAAACTGCAGAGATTGATTCCTTATCCTCATTATCACAATATGTTAGTCCATCAAGAGACCCTACTATAATATAAGAAATAAATAACTGATATTAACTAACCGTTTCACGGAAATATTATCACAAGATTAATATCTCAATTTATTATCTCATTTCAACAACTATCTAGTAACTAACCAGTAAATTACCAGAATATTATCACAAAATCTTAGTTCATCAGTACTAATGCAACTGGCATGAGACACTATTATCACAAAATTTCAGTTCATCAAAGTAATGGTCCTGCCTACTACTTGATACTCGACGTATTATCAAACTAAATAATCAACACAGCATTATCTTGTGTGGAATACTTGACATTTGGAAATATCAACCAGTGTATATACCAATATACCACCTATAAATGTGCAGATTATAGTGAATGCTACTCACATCCTCACGGAATGCCCAGCAGTTGCAGCAATACGGGAAGCACATCTCGGGAACATCGTTTTGGAACCAGAGAGTGTGAGAAGGGTTTCGTTGAGAAGGCTGGTCTCTTCCGCCCGCGAAATTGGCTACCTTCATGACTGAACCAATTCCCAGCAGAGGTGGGTGCATAACGGGCCCGAACTAGGAGGCCTACATGCTGAAGGATACGTCCGCCTACATAGTGTAATCTATCTAATCTATCTATAGTGAATGCATGAATGTATAAAAATCAATGGCAAAAATAAACAATAAGGACTTGAAAAACAAACAAGGTATATATGTATAAGTTCACCTGTCCTACCACCTGACAATTGTATTTCTACTAGTGATATGGGGCCCCTCAGTAGCGCTACTGGAAGTTCACAGGTTCATCATCCAAGGTGTAGCAAGGAGATAGTGGAGGCAGAGGTATAAACCAATACAAATACCAACGATTATAAAGAAAATAACAAATATAGGCATCACACGAATTTGTACAGTATACGACAAGCTATAAAAATAATATTGTGGTGAAGTTGTAGTGCCTGGGTGACCAACCTCAGGAACATTAACTGCCACTGTTGGGACTTGATGTGCCGCTGTGCGAGGTCCTAATCTTACATTTAAGGTTACCTGGTGGTACTGGTAGTGCGAGGTACCTTTGAGACCCCTATGATACCTGGAGTGCAGCAGTCGAGACTTCAGGGTGGCCTCGATGTCGTTAAAGCCTGTTGGAGTACCGAAGGTGTGATGGGGGCCACGAATGTGCTCTCTCGACGTGAAACGGAGAAGGGTTCAGGTGAATGTCGCCTCCTCTTCAGAACTACTTATGAATCGAATTCTCTTATTGTATGGTGTATGGTATCGAATGTTCTCGAATCTCAGAGAGGTACTGGAAGGCCTGAAAATTACAACTTATCAGCCACGTGGGGGCGCAAGACCAAGAATTGAGCCGAGATTGAAGATGGAATAATTAGTTCGATATTTCAATGTGATTTTTGATATTACATACCTCAGATGTTGTTCGGCCTTTTTTTTTTTAATTGAATAGAGGAATTGCTCTGAAAGCAAACGTTCTCCTCGTGATGCCAAGGTGTGAATGCCTGATGGCAAGATGTCGACCGATATTCTTTGGTTCCCGTCGATTTTACCGCGAAAATCGTAAGTAATAAAGATATAACCTAGATCTGACCAACATCTCCACCCTAGAGTAGGTACTCTTCATTTGACTATATATATGGCTAATGCAGGGTGGAAAGGGTATAAGTCAATTTTTGTCGAAATTGAGTTTAATGACCATTTGCCTAGATAATAATGTTTTCTATGTTTGCAGAAAACGGTATAAGTAATCTATAACCCTCATTGTATATATGGCTAATGCAGGGTGGAAAGGGTATAAGTCGAATACATGAACTTCTCAGTACACGCTGTTGAAACTTTGGTCATGTCTACATGTTGGTTGGCAAGAGTCTGATTTATTTTTTTTCAACTAGTGATTATTAACTAACAAAAACAATCAAAATAATATGGAGAAGACACCATAAACGTATTTTTAACCAAACTTAGCTGACTTGTGCCATTGAGTAATGCTGTATATGGTTGTTTGTAAGGGTATATGTCATGTTATATCCTTCTCATCCAACTATAATGATACAATATATCAGTGAAATTTGAACTTGGGGATGAATGAGAAAATACAATAGACCAATCGAAATTTAACTTTATCTGAATAAAATTTTTATACAGAAAATCCTTAATTTCTGCTAAAATCTCCTTCTCACTCCTTCATCCTCTTCCTCGATGGACAAATCTGGATCTTCTTCTTCTACCGCACCAATAACTGTCAAGTTTCGGTAAAAATCATGAAATTGTGGATGTATGAACGGCAACAAGTCCATAATGTCAGCCTTTTTCTCAGCGCTAATGGGCTGAGGCCCTTTGTACAGTTTTGTCAGCTGCTTGATCAGTAATCTATTCTTCCCACGACGCCCAAAATTTACTGAATCGAATTGAGAATCTTCGTTCAGGGACTTTTTGAATAAAATATGTCCGAATATCTCAGCTGAAGAGTATCGAAACCACTTGACTTCAGACCATAGCATTTTATCTCCACTTTCGGTAGACTTCTTCGCAATCAATGGTCCTTTGAGTAGTTTTGCAAAATCAATGAACTCATTCACCATCAGCACAACCTTGAATGGTTTTTTTTTCCCACACCCTCTGACTAACTGGAACCAATCGTAAGGATGACTGATATCAATGTTTGATCTTTTTTTCTGTCTTTCGATGATGGAATGGTCTGTGTCACATTCCATATGAGTGTGACCACAAAGTAGAAATTTATGGTCAATGATTTCAATATGGGGACATGCTTGCAGTGCAGTGAGTAGCATAGCACCCATATGGGTATTACGGTTCTGACCGCCACACGTATCAGAATACATAACAACGTGTTTTATTCTTTCTGGTAAACTCTTGAGATGTTGATATAAGCATGAAGCAATGTTGTTAGCACCCCGACCGCCTTCTGCTTCATGCCACATATAGCAAGTGGCTTGATCATCTGAACCACTGTGGACTGTAAGATTGAAAGTCCAAAGCTGCCTTTTGTAGAAGGCCAATCCAGTTTTCAAATATGGAGTAGGTAGACATTGCTGCAAATCAAAAGTAAGCATTTCGAATTCAGGATCTTCTCTGGACCTCTTCTTATCAACTGCTTTCGTTGTATAAGCTAATTCAGCCTGAGCCTGGTGTGTTTGGAGATCGTCCTTTATAGTTTCTTTATCTTCTTCATTTACTGCTATTTTAATTTTTAGATTGAGTTGATCACATGTTTTACATGTATCTGCCTTTGGTGACTTGAAAGAAAGATTTTTCTTGTGGAATGTACCTTCATATACCGTTCTGGAAACTGGTATATCAGTCTGCTCCTTATACAAGGAATACATCTTTGCCAATGACAACTCAGAGGATAAATATTTTTTTTGGGTACGCTTTCTCGTATAGTGGCTTTCATATGCGGGAAATGAATCGATATGAGAAGAAACATTAGCCATCACTTCCAGTGAACATTTTCTTTTCGGTGGGTGCTTTCCCCTTTGATCTGCTTGTGGCACACCAGCAGCCGATCCCAAGCTATTTTGCAGCACTTGGGTAATGAATCGATTCGTTTCTCCCAATGTATTCATGAAACATGTTTTACATACAGGTACATGTTTTCCATCAACATTGAAGTGATACTTATGAGACAAAAAGCGGAATTTTCTCTTATTGTCATCCACTTCTGGTCGTAACCTCATTGTAGATTTATCTTGCGTTTGAATCAAGCCTGCTATGTACATGGTTCTGCGATCATGATTTCCAATTTTCCAGTACTCCTTAAAAATGATATCCAGCTTTGCTTCTGGGATCCGCTCCCTACATTTCATTCGACATTCGGTTAAATCCTTCCGCTGTCTTTCTCTTATGACGATGCCCTTACTTGTAGTATAACTTTTTCCTGTATTTCTCTTGATTTTTCTCTCTTGCTCAAGTTTTCTCGACTTGTAAGATGGAACATTGTAATCATTTTCTTCATTGCTGTAATTTACCTCATCATCACCATTTTCATTAGTGGATCTTTCTTGATTGGCATCATTTTCTTCGTGACTGTGTTCTTCCTGATCAGTGTGTTTGTTTTGATCCTCATTAATTTTTTCAATTCTGTCATCTCCCTGATGATTATGTTGATTATCGGGATTTCCTTCTTCAGTAGTCTCAATAGTGATATTTTCTATGATGATTTCTTCTGCTGGAGTCACAGTTCTATTCGGTTAATATTCATTTTCATAATCAATCAGTGCATTCTCATTGTTGAGTGGTGATTCCATTTCATTTTCTAGTCGTTTTCCGCTCCCCAGACCTGGAGTTATGATATTTCCAGTTTCCTTCTGATTTTGTAAATCATTTACATTATCGGTCATCAAGGTACTCATCAATTCAAAATTTTCTAATATCAGCTGATTTTCTTCAAGCGTTATTCCAAAATTTGTGCTTTTGGTTCCTACATCTCCAACAAAGACAACAGGCATCTCCATGATGTCAAACTCATCTCCACGTTCTTGAATTTTCATTTCCGTATCTGCAATTCCAAGAAAAAGACCAATTTCAATCACAAATTCCAATAAAATATTACTTCACGGAATTTTGAACTACATTGAGAGTCCAGCTAGTGAAACTATGTAAAATCTTTCAATCCAAAAGAATTGAAGTTTGGAGAGATATAAGGTGTAATTGGAATACTGTCTGTATGTTCTTCGAAGTGTTAGAGAATTTTCATTCTTCGAAGATTTGTTGGGTTTTCCCTCCTCGTTTCTAAAAATGTAGGGAATATCAAAGCTATCATCTGTATTAGGCTACCCTAATAATGTAACTACGTTTGAAATAAGTTTTCAGGAACTCTTATGAAGGAAAGAAGATGGTTTTTGAGAATAGAAAAAATTACAAAAATATATTAAAAGAATAATTTGAAGAATAAATGAAAAGATAACTTAGCTTTGTTTCTCGGTTCTCTTGGAAGTTTCGGGAGCGAGTCTGCCTCCGTTTACAACATTCGTAGAGTTTATCTCCATTTTCATGTTTCCTGACACAAGTTGAATTTCTTTTTCAGTTCCTGAAAACTGAATTTTAAACGCAGTAACATTCTAAGGGTATCCTATCACTATCCTCTTTATTCAGATACTAGCTTTGATGTTTCCTACATTTTTAGATACGAGGAGAGAAAACCCAAAAAATCTTCGAAGAATTTAATTGGAATGGAAAAAATACATCAAATTCACATGATATTATTATGATTGATAATATGTGAATTTGTTTCATTTCACCCTGTATCAAATTTATATTCCATGTGAATATTGACATGATCGTAATATTTAAATTCCCAGTCTGATTCATTATGTGTGTGAACAAAAAATCACCACCTATAAAAATTATCCATATAGTATGCACCACTTAACCTAACCTGAAAATTATTCATATTCATATAGTATGCATTTAACCAAACCTTTGAACACAATGCACTATTCTATCCTAGTTTGATGAGTTATGAGAAATACGTACCTATTTGCTCCTCACATTCACTGGATTCATTTTTATCTTTGATTATTTTCAACGCCATTTTCACTATTCTGTCTCCTCTAGACATGTTGAAACACGAATGAACGATTCACATGCATACCAGAAGCTATATCCTACGTCTTATAATTCGTGAACACAAGTCTCACAGCCTGCAGAGAAGGTTATGAGTCACGGAAATGTATAGGAACCCAAAATGGAAAACGAAAATATGTCTGGATAAAAGGGTATAAGTCTACTTATACTGTTGTCTTCAGGCATGAGAGAGATACTTCTTGCTTTTTCAGATTTCGACTCCACTTATACCCTTTTCTCCTAACATTGAATTGGTTTCACCAAGTTAACTCATTTTCTACAGCTAATTATATATCCGTCCTCCAGAGTCCCATGCTGCAGACAAGGAGAGAGAGATAGAGTTCTGCCTACGTACGGTCCTGGTTCATTCGAAGTACGGCCCGAAAGTCGAAATGTCATGCCTCCGCTCGTTATGATCTGAGGTTCCGTCCGTCAGTTCGTCCCGCCCGAAGTTTGTGATCGAGCTTTCGGTCAACATCGGTGGCTGCGAATGGAGGAGTGAGAAGTTGGTTATTGTATGTTGTTTGTATGAGATGTCTCAAGACCTGCGAGGTTATACTAACGCAATGTTGATTTTCGACTGTTTACAATTTTTACGATGACCTGAATAATATCTACATCAAACTTGAACTCGATTTCAAAAGACTAGGAGTGGATAGACCTCAGGTGGGTTCCTGATATGTATCAGTATATTCCTTAATAATTCCTATATTGTAGAGTCGATATTGATAAAGTATCTTCATGTTTTAGGTTGGTTCTCGACTTCTGATATATGGGGTTTCCTGCACAAGATGATCAAAGAGGGTTGATAGAAACTGCGAAAACCATCAAGGAAACCTACCACGACCTCCGTCTGATGAATGTAGAGTGCTTCTGTGATAGTTCTTGTCGTTCAGAGCTCATAGAACTATGATTAATATTTTCGTTGGTATGTTTTTCTCAGGCTGTGCGAGCTATATTCAGACAATAAATGATTCTAAGGTGATTTATTGTTTGATTAATTAAGATTTGATTGTTGTTGTTGAAAATGAAATTTAAACCGTAACAAGTTGATATCTGTTTATTCTCCTCAGGAAAACATCACGGAGCGCTATAACAAAGAGATTGGGCGTATGTTACGCTGTTATTGCTTCGAGAAGCACACTAAGTGGGCAAATATGCTCGATTTTGTTGAAAATTGTTTAAATAATATTGTCAATGCGAGCACTGGTTATTCTGCAATGTATCTTCAATTCAATCTTAATTTTCTTAGTGAGCCCCCTTCTGATGTTCCCTTAGAGAGTGTTTGGGAGATTGCATATAATAATCTGCGTACGCGTGCCCAGAAGCGTGCCGAGAAGGCAAATTTGAAAATTAACCCGATCAATTTCAATGCTGGAGATCGAGTTTTAGTTAGGACGCATTATCAATCCTCCGCCGAGGATAAAACTATTAAAAAGTTTTTTCTTTTATATGAGGGCCCTTTTTATGTCATCCGTCGAGCTGGGCCAAATTCCTATGTAATAGGTGATGAGGATGGTAAGGAATGGTCCAAGCAAAACGTTATACATTTGAAACCTTATAAGTCCCCACCTGAGTAGCTCCATTAGTTTCATTGTTTCCGAATTTAGTGTAACTATTAGAACTAGAGCTTGTTTTTGAATAATTTTGTTTTTTTTCTTTGTAACCTGAATAGTCGTTACTACCTGTAACTGTTATTTAGTTAGGGGGAGTAATGCAGTGGTTCCGCGATCTCACTTGTGTCGCCCAGTGTATCGGGTCTTGTGAGGAAGTGCGGGATGAAAGGAAAGGGGTGGTTGGACTGAACTGGGCAGTGGTGAGCGGGAGACTGCAGAGGGAGGGTCTCCGCTGAGTATCAGAGACAGATTTGTTCTGTATGTACCACTATTATACCAATTCAGTGTTGGAAAATTGTATCAGATTTAAGTTGTCAGTAAATGTGTTTATCGCGAATTTGTTATAATTTGATCTTCCACAATAGTTCCCTCGAACCAACGGCTCGAAGAATCTCGAGCCACTTCAGTCTGCACACTGTATCTCTGTATTCTATCATCTCACATGGATACTTCTGGAGCATATCAGTTCGCAACGATCATATAAGACGACATCGAAGTGGGTATAACGCTCACAACAGGCAGAACAAGAAACTTCCACTGTGACTATGTTTACACTGTAACTTCGCATCCTAGCATCTGAAATGCCCACAACCATAGCAGATACGATCGCACTGACCATATGAGACGACTCTGAAGGACATATAACGAGAACAATAGTCAAGTGAAGATACTCCGACAACATCAATCTGCACACTGTATTCTATCATCTCACAAGGATACATCTGGAGCATATCAGTTCGCAGCGATCATATGAGACGACATCGAGACGGGAATAACGCACACAATAGGCAGAACAAGAAACTTCAACTTCGACTATGTTCACACTGTACCTTCGCATTCTCGCATCCGACATGCCTACAGCTATAGCAAATACGTTCACACTGACCATATGAGACGACTCCGAAGGACATATAACGAGAACAATAGGCAACTGAAGATACCTCGACAACATCAGTCTGCACACTGTATTCCTGTATTCTATCATCTCACATGGATACCTCCGGGGCATTATAGTTCGCAAAGATCATATAAGACGAGATCGAAGCGGGTATAACGCACACAACAGGCAGAACAAGGAACTTCGACTGTGACTATGTTCACACTATAACTTCGCATCCTAGCATCTGACATGCCTACAGCAATAGCAGATACGATCGCACTGACCATATGAGACGATTAAGAAGGACATATAACGAGAACAATAGGTAAGTGGAGATACTTTGACAACATCAGTTCGCACACTGTATCTCTGTATTCTATCAACTCAGATGAATACTTCTGGAGCATATTAGTTCGCAACGATCATATGAGATGACATCGAAACGGGTATAACGCACACAACAGGCAGAACAAGGAACTTCGACTTCGACAGTGTTCACACTGTAACTCCGCATTCTAGCATCTGACATGTCTACTGTTATAGCAGATACGATCGCACTGACCATATGGGACGACTTCGAAGGACATATAACGAGAACAATAGGCAAGTGAAGATTCTCTGACTACATCAGTCTGCACACTGTTTATCTGTATTCTATCATCTCACATGGATACCTCTGGAGCATATCAGTTCGCAACGATCATATGAGACGACATCAAAACGGATATAACGCACACAACAGGCAGAACAAGAAACTTTGACTTCGACTATGTTTACACAGTAACTTTGCATTCTAGCATCTGACATGCCTACAGTTTGTGGCCGTTAATAGATTTTATCTCTAGTTTTATCAAAATATCCATTGAATATCAAAATATCGAATAATAATAATTATCTATTACACTCAACACAGGCACGGCTGTATGCTCAACAGAGAGAATATGGATCGTGGGTCGTGAATTGAAACTTTTCTCAAATAAATTTATTAATTACACAATCAAAAGATGGAATTCATTTCACTAGATGTTACGTGAAAATTAGTAAGCTGTGGGCGCCAGTCGGATATCCGACAGGAGGGGATTTCAAACAAATTAAACAAGTATACACGTATAAGATATAAATAATGGAATTTACTATTCAATAAATTGGTGATAAGTATAAATAATTATCTGGAGGAGAAGAAAAAAAAATAGTAACAATAGGTTACCATAAAGTTTAGATCATAATATAGAAATATAAATTTAACACTCGAAATATTCTGAATCTCGAAATAATCGGAACTGATATTTTACTCACAAAACAAAATGTATAATTACGTCACTGAAACTACCAACAAATTACAGACGAGTTGAATACAAGGATTATAGCCCTTATTATGGACAGAGAACATTGAATATAGAATAAGTGCATAACAATATTATTCCTTAAAAAAATTAATCTTCAAAGAGATTTCAAAATGTGATTATGTCAGATAAGTACACAATAATATGACCTCGGAAAATTTGCAGCTGCAGATTTTTACATTTTACCTTATACTATGTCGTCAGGTTATATAACGATAAGGTACGAAAAGTGGATTCGTAGTTCATAGATTCACTTTTCGATTCACAATATATATAGAAAAATATGTATATAATGAAACACCAAGTTTTCTTTATTTCGTCGACCTCTCTTCCAGGATATGAAAAAAGTACTCACCCAGCTCGCTATAATTACGTTACCCAACAGTATGGACTTATCCTTGTCGTCTAACTATCATTTTTATACAGCTCGGGCTTCCTTAATATATAGCGTTGATCGTGAAACTGACGAGGTGGCTCGATGACGTAAATAGTTTGTCGAGTGGTGGTTACGCAACAACCGGTGACGTGGACAACGTGTAGCCAGATGACGTGAAGCAGCGTGAAGTTACGTCGAGAGTTTCGTGTTATGTATGGCTTCAAATGATTATTGTACTCATTTAGTTTTATAGAAAGTGAATAAGTGCTTGATTATTGAAGTAGGTCTCCTTTAATGCCGGCACAAAAGAAAAAGCCTGTAAAAATAGGAAAAACGTTTGAGCTTCCCAATTTCACAAATGATTGAATTTATTAACAAATGATCTTCTGAAAATCGAATAGAAATTTATTTGAAAAGTAAAATCATTACCTTAGAATATTATTAGGCCTTTTTTACAAAAACTGCCAAAGCACGAGTCGCCTACTCAGTTCACTTTCTTATAGCAAATGGCTGATCACATGTAAAATTTGACTATTTTCTAGTTCACGTACCTCACGTCAGCTCGCTAGTTTGATGGCGCTATTGCCGATTCAATATTTAATGGTTCCTTCAATTTACTCGATATTTGTTTTCTGCACTCTACGCTAATCAATTGGACTTTCAAAATAGTGGAATTAAAGAAATAACTAATTGAATGGATAATTATTTATGCGTGAATAAAACCTCGAAATTGAAAAGAATAACTTCAATTAGGTATGGGTAAACCTCGATTGGCGCTAA